TTTAAATTCGCTTTAAAATTATTATGCAGCCTTTTTTTGCAAAAAAAAAGATATCAGTGTAATATTTGCCATAACTACTTTCTATATATCAACATTTAAAAAAAAGTGAAAACACCCTATACCGCCACTCGTTTTCGCTGAAAACTGCATCAAAGAAATATTGCATTTCGTGCGACTTACTGAGAAATAGACCATTGTGTACATGGAAAACGACGAATGACCAGATGGAAACGACAGTCGCATTTCCTTCATAATCCTCTTGTTGTACATGTAGGCTGGATTGGTGCAGGAAAAATCCGTATGGTACACGTTCTGGTTCTCCGCTAGGGAACAATTCACGTCAGGCAAGCAAACCGTGTAGAAATGCGGCCTCAATCTTCCTGGAAAAAACACGTTTTTTTTGTAAGAAAAATCCTCAACCCATCGCAAGCGCTGCATCACTTACCAATTGTATATTTCATAACGTCAGTGGTGAGTTGCGAGCATGCGGCCCCAAAAGCGAACATTCCAATCGCGCAATACGCATTGTAGATCCAAAAAGGAATCTTCCTGCCGAGGAAGTAGAAGTGCTTCCTGTCGTTCGGTCTATTGAGAAGTTCTGTTAAGGTCATCTGCAACAATGTCCAACAACGTTACTCGATTTGGCTAGGAGACAAATAATTATGTGCAAATCTCGGTTTATCAGCCACTCGATGTAATTAAAACCTCCATGTACATTGACACATATTTTTGCATTTCTAACGTTTCGTCACAGTGATGAGCTGATACAATAGCGGCATAAAAGCGTCGTAAAAGTGAATAAACTCACTGTTCACTGCGTGTTTTATCGTTAACAAAGACCCTGGATTGTTTACTATTTTATGAATGTGGCGGTTTTATTCCCAACTAATGAATGGAAAATTGACTGAACTTGACCAAAACTATAGAACCCAGATAGCATTTGATATTCTATGAATATCCCAGAATGTTCAACAAATATACAGAACATTGCGGAAATATCCTGGGAATATACATGGCTGAACATTCCTAATGCATGTATACTCCACGTACATTCATGTATATTCATCAAAGTTCATAAAAAGTATATCCTAGGTATGTACATATATGTACATATTGTGTATATGTGCAGGTGAATATACCTAGTATGTTCAAAACAAATATTCCGGTAATATACATGAATGTATATCCACGGTATATTCCAAATTGGTTGAATATACATTTTGCGTGCCCGCAGCAGAAAAGTAAGGGCATGTAAAAGTAAATCTTCTTACTACTAAAACCTGAGACCCTTATGAAATACTGAAAATATGGTGTTTTCATTAACAAATTAACAAAATTTATCGAAAATAAATTTTGCATGCCCGCAGCAGAAAAGTAAGGGCACGTACAAGTACAAGAGTTTATATGAACTTTTCTTTTTAAATGCGTCAACGTT